TACCGCCCCATTAGCAACTCTTTGTATCTAGTGAATCATCGTTCATTCAATCATGGTTCATTAAAGTAACAGATGGCTTTTCTTTTCTCCCCAGGTTCGTTGAGGTATCATTGACAAAAACCGTGTATACTGAAGGTGTTTGATGTGATAGTTTGATATATGTATACATTGTGAAATGATTACCATAATCAACACAGGGTAATCGTGAATGAACACATGCATCATCTCACACGGTCACCGTGCGCGCGCGTGTGTGTGTGTGTGTGTGTGTGTGTGTATGTGGTCAGAACACTGAAGATCCACTCCCTTAGCAAATTTCAAGCATACGATACAGTATTAACTATCATTGCCATGCTGTATGTGAGATCCCCTCACCCTATTCGTCTCACAATGGAAAGTTTGTGCCCTTTAACCAACCTTCCCTCTTTCTCCCCAACACCCACGGATGGGTTTTCTGACTGCTGCCTGGACCCTGATTTGGTAATGAATTTGGGCTCAAATGCCACTGAGCTCCTTGCCAACGGGAAAGGGGTTGCTGGTAATCCACGACATGTGGTGGCATCGAGATGGAGCTGCACGCCACCTGGTCGGTTGTGATGGAGTGCTGACCAAAGCATCGCCCTGAAGGACCCTGCGGCTGCTGCCCTATCCTGCCGTGGCAGTAAAGGTGATTATGAGGATAGTGGCGTGAAAGGGGTTCTTCTGGGGGCTCTGGTTGGCTCACTGAAAGAAAATGACAAAACCAGACCTTTCTACCTTGAGCCCAAATCGTCTCTTACAGCTGCAGGGCTGATATGGCTAAATATCAAACACGTAGGTAAACGGTGCACGTTGTAGAATGACAATGGGAGTTGGGTTCCCAGCCTCGGGACATCTATTGTGTGAAAGAAATGGCGACGGTGATGCAGAAGTCGAGCCCAAGGCACGGAGACCTCTGGGGGGTCTCGAATGCCCCCAGCCACTTGGAGCTTCCTTGCCAGCAAAATCAGCCTGGAATCTGCAGAGAGTAGCCTTCCTGCGCTTGAACTTGCTGTAATCATCTCAGCTGGAGCGGCGGTCTCGCAAGGGGAAGCCACGCCTCCACCAAGCCCACGCCCACCACCCTTGTGAGCCGGGCTCCATAACCGCAGTCAGACCAGCACGCTGTGGGCGCTGAGGACAGGAGCTGACCCGGGAGGAAATCCCTTAGACACCAAAAGAATTGGCAGTGGTGTTCCTTTAGGCCAGCAGAAACCCAGGGGATCTGTGTGGGAATGAAGCTAAGGGTGTTGGAGCGAGCAGGAGGAGATCCGATTTGGCTTTGCGGCTGGTGAATTTATTGACCTGGGGGGCACTTCCCAGAAAGCCTGTATTTAACACGTTACCCTGTGCGGCTGACTGTGGCTCTCTTAGGTTTCTCAGTTGGTTGGCTCAGCGTTGAACTCCGTGGTAGCCTATGTTTAAGGAGACACGTGTGAGAACTTCATCAAGCAGAGAAAGGAAGCCAAAGACAGGGAGACGGCAGTGCTGGCGGGGATGTGTCACACACGACGGGCACAGCCGCCCCCCGCCCCCGAGCGCCCGGAGAACATTCCTCTCAGTGAGGCATTGAGAAATGTCAGCGAGGGAAGCGGGAAGCAGCGGCACCCTTGGATAGCTCTGTGGTCCCCCTTCTCAGGTCACCCTCGATGATGGGAGACACGGCACTGAGATGAGGTCCTTGACTCCAGTGGGGACAACGGGGCCCCGGATGTTTGGGAAAGTGGACGAAGCAAGGCCGAAGCTGGATGAACAGAAGAGTCTCGTTCGTGGTTTCTAAAGGCAAAAGAGAACTGGATTTTATATGTGTTTATAAAGCTCCAGTGGTCATCCTTTCTACGGGCACGTGGAATAGGAGGCTGATTTTACTCTGCTTCCTGTCCCGAAGCTTGGGAGATTCTTACCTCGGGATGAAGACAGAGAGTGCATGGATTAAAAGGAGAGAAAACTTCATTTTTATCTTTTTTTAAATGTTTGCTTATTTTTGAGAGAGAGAGACAGAGCATGAGCGAGGGAGGGGCAGAGAGAGAGGGAGACACAGGACCCGAGGCAGGTTCCAGGCTCCGAGCTGTCACCACAGAGCCCAAGGCGGGGCTTGAACTCACGAACCGTGAGATCATGACCTGAGCCGACGTCCAACGCTTAACTGACTGAGCCACCCAGGGGCCCCAAGAGAGAGAAAACTTTATTATGGTCTATTTCAAACATGCACTAAAGCAGAGAAATAGTATAATGTGTCCTGCCCCTCAGTTTAAGCCATTATCAATTCACAGATAGGCTTGTTTCGTCTACACCTCCATCCAACTCATTATTTTCCCCTAGCTTTATTGAGATATAATTGACAAACAACAATGAAATACATTGAAGGTGTACAATGTGATTGTGAAATATTTACCGATTATTTACCAATACATTTGTGAAATATTTACCACTGTGAAGTCAACACATCCATCAGTTTACATAGTTACTTTTTCTGTGTGCGTGGTGACAAGGCTCCAGATCTCCTCTCACAGCAACTTTCAGGTACGCGGAACATATTACTAACCATAATCAGTACTCGGTCCGCTGTTTTAAAGCGCAACAGTTATCATATAATTTAATCTCTAAATGATTGGATCTGTTTATAAAAGAGAAGAACTCTTAAAAATATATGAAACCACAATAAAATTAATACACCTGGGAAAACGAACAATTATTCCTTTATATTACGAGAAAAGGATGGTAGAATGGATGGTTATTTGAAAAATTTGAACGACGCAAGTATTCTTTTGTGAAAGCTGGAAACGCGCACCCCTGATTAGAAAATAGAGTTGCAGTGAATTGTCAGTAGCTTAGGTCTGCGTCTGGAAAAACTCCAGGAACTTGCTTCCTCCACTAGGGAATTGATTCGGTTTTTTCTTTGGCAGAGGTCTAAAATTTAGCCCCTCGTACCCCGGGTGGGACTCGAACCCACAATCCCTGGCTTAGGAGGCCAATGCCTTATCCATTAGGCCACCGGGGCCGGCGGCAGACGCCTCGTAATGGTCCTAGACCAGTCTCTCGGTCACCTCCCCGTGGTTCCCACAAATGACGCACAGCCTCCCCGCTCCGTCCCGGTCTCCATCCTGCCCCTCAGCACCTGCATTCACCCGGTGCTCACCCGCTCCTGAGCGTCCTGGGACCCCGGAGGGACCGCGCACACGCAGATGGAACCTAAAGAACTGGGGCCACAGGTGTCAGCTCAGCTCTTTGGCCTACGGTGTGATCCTCGCTTAGGGTGCGAGAAGACTGGGCATCAAAGCCTGGGCGAGCCCTTTCCTTCTCCTTGCGGGAGAATCCGGGCTCGTTGGTAACTATCTATTAGCAAGAAGGAGCTGGCTATGCAAAACGTCGGAGAGGAGAGGACGGGGGTGCCAGCCAGGAGAGTGGGAAAAGCGCCATCCCTGTCCTTGTCCTCCTCCCTACACCGGCCCGCAGACAAGAGGTGTTACCTGGGCTTCGGTCTCCGCGGTTTTAACAGAGCTCAGTGGCCTCCCTAGTGGCCCCATATCTGATCGGCTGGCTGTGCCCGTGAGGATGAGAACCCAGCATTAGCTTTCCCACCAGAGGATGGGTGTTCTTTCTCACCTCCAAAATGTTGGTCCTAAAGAAGCTTCAAACCACCGAAGCACCACAAACACGGTAACACCCCACATGACCCCAGGGTACCTGCGCGCACCTTCCGGAATGTGGGCTCCGGCTGCCACTGCCCCAGCGGTCACCAGGTGGGAGGAGGTCAAGTCACCTAGGTGAGCTGGCTTAGCCAGAATCCTTTGGCGAGAACACAGTTCCTCAAGTGGAGACATTTTTTTCCCCAGGTAAAATGATAACCCAACCCTGGGCATATTGTTTATATTTAAACGTTTAAATATACACCCACACTAGTCATTTAAGGGTACACTATCATTGCAAGAAATCCAAATAATCCATTAGGTTTTTAAAACATTTTATTCTGTTAAAAATGTGTATATAACGCTATAGCCAATTTAGCCATTTTTAAGCGTACAATTCAATTCAGTGGCATCAGTTACATGCACAATATCATCCAACCGTCACCAGAATTTCCAAAACTTTTTTTTAATCACGATAATCTATTATAGTTTGGAACGCACTTGTCTCCTGAGCCCTTGGAACAATTCCCATGCACCCCGCGCGCCCCCGCGCCCTCCGCGCCCCCCGCGCCCAAAGGTCCAACCTCTCATGTGCTACAGCTCTGGTCCTCAGGACTGTATTCGTGCAGCCAGTCCCTAGTGGGCCCCGGGACTCGCGGCCGGTGGCTTCAGGTTCCGGCCACCGGTGGGCCTCGCAGCTCCTCGGGGGCGCGGGCGTGCGGACCAGGCGCTGGCTCCTGAGCTCCGCCCTTGCAGGCGCGCGGCGGCTGCCGAGGTGCCGGAGGGCGGGGCAGCGGGCGGGGCACGGCCCAGGCGACCTAGGGTTTCGCGGAGGGCGCAGTCCCGACCGAGGGAAAAGGCAAAGCGGAGGGAGAAAAACAAGCTGCGCAGCGACCACGAAGGGACTCGAACCCTCAATCTTCTGATCCGGAATCAGACGCCTTATCCATTAGGCCACGCGGCCCCGCCGGTGGCGCTCCCACCGCGTTTCTCATAAAGCTGATTCAGGCGCCTGCGTGTTGTACCGCAATACGCATGTTCCTACTGGCAAGGAGCTCCGCCCCCTCGGGCTTTATGTGGGCGGAGCCGGGGCCCGGCGCCGAGAGGAGCCCAGGCGGCTCCGCGAGAACAGCCCTCCCTGACTTGTGCTTACGAGTTCGAGCCCCGGTGAGGCCGCGCAAGGCCCTTCCTGCCCTAAGAGGCGCCTTTGGAACTCTTCCCCCACGTGGCCCTGGAGCGCGTTGAGTCGGGAGCTGCCCAGCGCTCCCCAGGCCCTGTTTCCCCTCATTCACAATCCCGATCCACCTGCAAGTCTCGGGCCAGAGTGTCATGGCTCCAGACTAGACTGTGACCGCGTCTCCTGCATTTCCGCGGCCCCGGCGCGGGGCGCCGCCGGGGTGCGGGAGCTGAGACCGCGACGTGGGCCCCGGCTGCCCCTGCTCGGAACATCCAGCCCAGCCTGGCCCGTGCTGGGCTCCTCAGCCCCTCCGCCCGCAGGAAGGAGGGCCCAGCCTGGCTCCCGGGAGCACAGATGCACCCTTACTGGGTGCCGAGCACCCTGCCTGCAGTCTCCCGCTGCCCCGCCTCCCTGCGAGCGGACGCATTCTCGGTCATGCACAGACGCTTCTAGCACGCCGGCCGAGCCCCGCGCCCGGGCTGTCTCCCCCACTGACAGATGAGGAACGGGGGGCCGCGGGTGGAGTCGGCGGCGGCGCCGGGCTGTGGCTCCCACCGGCCGCACCCCCAGGGCAGCGGCGCGCGGTCAGGCCTGCAGGCAGAGCCGGCGCCTCAGCGAGCTGCGGATCTCCAGGCAGGCCTTGCGGCGCTCCGGGCAGTCGGGACCCAGCACCTCCAGCTGACACACCCGCCGGTTGACCTGCGAGGCCCACGCCAGTCAGACCCAGCCACGCTCCACTTGGCCTCAATCTGAGGGGCTTCAGGGGCGCCCGGGGGTGTTCAGCCGGTTGAGCGTCTGACTCTGGTTTCCCCTCTGGTCATGATCTCGCGGGTCCTGAGATGGACCCTGCGTGGGGCTCTGCGCTCACAGCTCGGACCCTGCTTGGGATTCTCTCTCCCTCTCTCTCTGCCCCTCCCCCGCTCGCTACTCTCTCTCTCAAAATAAATACATAAACATGAACATTTTTTTTTTTAACCTGAGGGGCTTCAGTTCCCTGCAGGTAGTGAAATTATTCAAACAAGCCAATCAGCTCCTCCTGCAGGAAGCAGGGGGCACCCCCCCCCCCATAAAGCCTGCGGCCCACAGCCCCTGCAGGTTCACTCTGCGCCTGACTGCAACTCCCAGGGGCCCCGCGTGACAGGCGGATTCTCTCCCCCGTCTTCTCCGCGGCGGAAAGGGAGTGTATGTGGCTAATAACTGCCGTCCATCTCGCCCGGCCAGCGCCCAGCACCGAGGGGCGAGTGTGGCTCACGGACAGAGTTAAGAGATGGCGAGAAGGATGAACCCAGCCCCCCTCCCCAGGGCTCTGCCTCTCCCCCGACACACCTCAGTCAGCAGCTCCAGAACTTCTCTCCCAGGGTCAGCTCTGAAGACCTCCACCAGCATCTGGATAAAGTCTGAGCCTGTCTCATCCCGATAGGCTACACAGCCTAGGCCAGAAGACCAGGGTCAGAGTGTCAGACTCGGGACAGGACCGCGGCCTTCCAATCCCCAGGGGCTCTTTGTTGGGGGAAAAGGCAGGGAGTGGCAAAGAGACAGGACCCCAGGGGTCTGGCAAGGGGATGGTGCAAAGAGCAGGAATTTCTTGCTTCTGGAACAACTTGTCGCTTGATATTTGTGGACCGAATACACAATTGCATTGAACGTGGAACACATATTCACTGTGAACCTACCACCTTCTGGGCACCGGGCAGAGCCCTCACGGAACCTGCAACCCTCCGTACAGTCAGCTCTCAATATATGCTCACCATCATTACTGTTATTATAAATAATAGACATGGGAGGAAGATGGCCTAACTGAAAAGGGGCTAGTGCCCCTGTGCCCCAACTGCCACGCCCTGGCTGTCCCTCAAGCCACTCCAGATGTCCAGCCAGGATGCAGGGCCCCGTGTAACAGGGCTTCTTGATGACCCGTCCCCTTACCCTCGGCAGCTGCATAGACCGTCAGGATGTCTGCTTGGTCAGAGCTCCCTGCAGTGGGGAAGGGAGAGCTGCCTGCAAGAAAGACCAGCATTTACCCAGCACCCTGGGACTCTACCAAGCCCGGGGCTGCCCCCTCAGTCTGGCTCAAGGACACCCAGGGCAGTGGAATGAACACAGGGCGGAAAAGGCAAATCAGAACTGCGGTCTAAAAACAACCAAACAAAACCTCAAAGCTCAGCCCCATCACGAATCGGCTCTGTGACCTTAGAAGAGCTATTTCACCTTCCTGACTCCAAGGTTGTTTCGAGGCTCAAGTAGGGGAAGAAACCCTCGATTTTCAAAGGCCCTTGCAGTTTAGGAAGGTTTTCCTTCCCAACCTCTTGGCAAAGCCAAGAGGATGCTGGGGGCAGCAGGCCCCCAGCTCAGAGCCCTGGAAATGCAGGCCAGAGAGGCCACGCAGTAGCCCCTGGCCAAGCCCAGCCTCCAGAAGGAAGGCACGCCCACCTTGGGCATCAGCATAGATCTGGAGGACATCGGCATGCGAGGGGGTGGTGGGTGATGCCCGCAGCCAGCGCCGGAACCAAGGGAGACATGCGGGCCCCACACCGGCGTCCCTATGCCCTGGAAGAGGAGGGGACACACAGGCCCTTTCACTGAGCAGACACCTGGGGGGGGAGGGTCTCCAGGGGCCCATAGCCCACCCCCCCAGAACTCCAGGGCAGCCCCATGAGACTAGAAAATCCAGAGCAGTGAACAACAAGAGCTGAGGGTGAAGTGCTCAAGTTGGTGGACTTGACTTCTAGGAGAGGCCCGGAGAGACCCGGAGATGGGACAGGTAAAGCACCAGCGCTCAGGCTTCCTGAAGAAGGTGGACAGCAAGTCCTGGGTCGCCGAGGGCTGGGTGTGGGAAGCTAGGACGGGAGGAGGCAGGTGGGGGGTAGGAACCCACTCACCCCCACGGCAAGCCTGAAGCAGAAAGATCTTGGGGCAGCCGCACAGGGCCCTGCAGCGGCTCAGCTCCTGCACCAGGGCCTCTGGCCGTACCTCCCGCCCGTCGGCCCCCAGCAGCTGTCCCTGTGGCCCCCCGTGGGCCATCAGGGCCACAAGGGCACAGCTCACTGGGGCCCTGTGGGCGTCTAGGCACTCCCGGAACTGGGCCAGCTCCTCCTGGAAAGCCTGGGGTGGGGACGAGATTGAGGCCTGGGCCAGGGCCATTGCCTCCCCAATACCTGGTGGCCCTCCGGGGAGGCTTGTCCAGCCCCCGCCCACCCTACTTACCACCTCCTGCCCACCTCAGGCCACAGCGGAAGTTCTCTTTCTAACCCCCCACTGCAACACAAGGCATGGCCCAACTGGAGGTGACGTGTGGCTCTAGCCTCTTACAGCTGGGCCTTTGGCCCTAACGGGGAAGCTGCTCCAGAAAGTTAAGACGCTTGAGGGGCAATGAGCTGATGGGTGTCGGGGAAGGAACCCGAGACCCTCCCAGGAAAAGCTTGAGGGTGCAGCTGGGGCCTGGAGCAGAGGAGTAGAGGGTCAGCCAGTGTGGGAGGCTGCAGGAGCCCTGGAGACTGGGCGCCCAGAGGCAGGGGAGTGAGCTCCCCACGCACGCAGCAGGAAGGACTGAAGGCAGACAAGGGGCAGGGGCCAGGGAGAGAGTCGCTGGAGTCCTGGGGTTGGGGGCGCCCTTCCTTTAGGGCACCACCAGACCTCACCTGGGCCGTGGGGTCTGTCCTTAGCGTGGTCTTGAAGCTCAGGGCCTGGCACAGGGTCCCCAGCGCCTCCACATCGTGCTGGGCCCCAGGCCGGCCGTGGATCACAGACAGGAGGAGGGCGGCCCTGGTCCCGGACAGGTCATACCGAACAGTGGGGCTGGGTTCTGGCTACGGACAAGCACAGGAGCGTTCGGCGTGGTCTGCGAGCTTCCCAGCTCCTCACCTCCCCCACCTCAGGTCTCCCGGACCCTCTCTCCCACTCGTGACTGCTGCCACGTGGTTCACCCCACGCCGTCCCCCTCACCTCGGGCCCCCAGGGCTCCACGTCGCCCAGGCACAGTGCGCCCCGCAAGGAGCTCCGAAGGACTGGACAGTAGGTGGCCTCGGACTCTTCAGCTGTCCTGCAGAAGACCTGGGGGCGGGGGTGAGGCCAGAGAACGCCTCAGGGGGCTGCTCCACAGGGGCACGGTTCCGGGAGGGAACAGGACGCTGGCTTCAGGGAACAGCTTGGCCGCCTCGCGTCTCCTGCAGTCTCTTTGGGGTCCCCTACCAGAATTAAGGGAGGAAAAGACAGACAAAAGAAGGGGAGGGCACAAAGGGGAGGTCCTAGTTGAGGTTCAACATCAGGGGCGTCCTCAAGTGGAGAGCGGCCGTGCCATCCACGGCACCACTCCCGGCCCAGAGATGGGTACTCCCTAGAGCAGGTTGGAGCCTGTCTGGGAAGGCTCACCGTGGGGGGGTACCACGTGGGGAGGGTGCCAGGCAGGGGGAAGCTGTGGGGCAGAGCCAGGGGCCACCCCTCACCTCCAAGGTCACCCAGCGGCTACCCAATTGCCCAGGGAGACCTTTGGGCCTTGAGCCCAGACCAGACCTGGATCATTCCCAACTCTGGCCTCCAGGGACCCCCAGTCTGACAGGACAGTTGCTGTGCGAGTGTGAACAGGGGTGGGCAGAACTGCAAGCCAACTGATCTAACAGGCTCAGGACAGTACAGCAGAGCCAGGGGAAGTGACTGGCATAGCCCCCCTCCCAGGGACTCCCCCTCCCCCCGACCTGGGCCCCCGACCTCTGTCAGCAGCTGCAGCAGAGACCAGTGAGGAAAGCGGCCACACAGCTCGCTCAAGCCAGTGAGGAAGGCTCCGGGCTCGGGGGCAGCTGGGTAGAGAAACAGCACGTTGGCCTGAAAGGTGGGTCTCGGCCCCCCTGCCCTCCCCCACCTCTGCTTTGCGCTGTCCCGCAGCCAGGGTCCCTGCCCAGCCCACTCACCCCCAGGAGCACTTGAGAGCAGAAGGAAAACTTTGGGGCGGCCCCAGAGGGCCCCACAGCGGCTCAGCTCCCGGACCAGCTGCTGGGGCTGCTTCAGCTGCCCACTGGGGGCCACCAAGGCCACTAAGGCACAGCCCACAGGGCCCCCGAGGGCATCCAGCTGCTCCCGGAAAGCGGCCAGCTCCCCAAGGAAGCCCTAGGGCAAGAGCAAAGGCCGGGCCTGAGTCCAGGGAGGCTCAGCAGCAGGGGTGGTGGTGGTGTTGGGGGGGGGGTGCGTGGAGGCGGGAGGCAGGTGAGGACTCACCTGGACAGAGGTCTCCCTCCTCTGGCAGCTCTCAAAGCCCAGGGTCCGGAACACGCCCTCCAGGACAGCGACTATAGAGGCTGACACCTCAGGGCTGCTGAGGGTCAGGGCCACCCTTGGGCCCCGCATGCTGTACTTCCCCTGGGGAGGCAAGGCCAGAGTTGCACCGGGGTGGGGCTCCGCTGAGAGCCGGGAACAGGCTAGGCCAGGCAGCGCCCCGCCTACCTTTCTTCCCAGGCTCTCTCGAGCATCTGCGATCTGTGAGGCCACCTGCAGGGTCCCAGCCACCAGGAAAGCCATGGGGGCCGGGTGGGGGCTTCCTCTGAGCACAGAGCTTACCCCCTGACCCCCATGCCAACGCCCTGGCTCCCAATCCTTGCCCTCCCCCCTCCAGCCCTGTCCTATCAGCTCTGTTTATGAGCTGAGCCGGACTCTGCCCCTTTCCCTGGAACCCTGGGTCTCGGGCTCCACCGCCCCAGGGCCTGCTCTGTCCCCTGGCCCCAGCGGGCTCCTCTCTGGCTGGCATTGGCACACCCTCACCTGAGCCGGGAGCATATGCCCAATCCTATTCTTAGCTCCTGGCCCACCTCCTATCTGATCTCGTTACACGGGAGTGTCTCCCTTCGGAGCCAGCCACCAGCACCAAAAACGTCCATGCCCGGCTTCCGCCAGCCCCCACTCTCTCGTGCACAGCACCCACCCACGTGCACACTGCAGCCTTGAGCACAGGGGTGGGAGGAGGGGTGAAGGGCGCCATCCCACAGGGAGAAAACTCTGACCAGAGTCCTGTGTCCACCGTGAGACTCCAGTCGCTTCATCTGGGAAAAGGGGTCCATCGCAGTGACCTCAGGAGGAAGCAAGTGTTACATGGGCGGCTGGCTGAGGAAGTGCTCTCGGGCCAGAGGGGCTGGCACACAGAGTAAGGGACAGAACATTCTGTCTCCGCCCGCCCCCACCCCCTTTCGGGAGGGCTCTGCTGGGGTAGGATGACCTCTGACTGTGCACCCCCCACTTCTGTGTGGGCTCCCGGCTAGGGAGGGGAAGGGTCAGATGTCAAGGGCTGGGTGGGGAACAGGCAGGGCCCATTCTGACCCAGCAGGCCCCTCCCACTAAGGGATCTGAGCACTGAGACGGCTTGAGTCCTGCTTCCCCACACACCCCACGCCTAAGCCCCTTTCTTCATTTCACCCGTGAGGCCTGGCGAAGACCCACTCAGCTCCCCCACTGTCCTGCTGGGGTAGTGGGGGGTGCAGGTACCCCCAGTTATCCCATCCTCATCTGTCCCCGGTCCAGGGCAGGCGCTGCCTGATGAGGGATGAGAGTCCGGACACTCGTGGCTGTAATTTGGGACCCAGCCGTCCCGGAAGCCAAGAATGTGGCTCCACCTGGTGACCACCCAGTACCAGTACCACCAGGACAACCGAGCCAGGAGGCCCAGAAGTAGGAGTTCCAGGTCCCCCCCACCCCTAGCAACCACATAAACAACAGAACAGTCTGGAGAAAGTTTCCACATTTATTCAAAGTCCTCTGCTGCCCTTTTGAGAACAGCAGGGCCCAGCTCCTTTAGAGAGCCTGTGGTCTGTCCCTGGGAATGCCAATCTGCAGACAATGCAGGTGGCGCTGTGGAATGCAGTGCTTAAGGAGTCAGCAACAAGTGCTGACAGAGTGCTAGTGTTAAGTATTACAAAGCCCACACCTCTGGAGAGGGGAGCAGCGGGGAGCAGCCAGCCTCCACAGGCCCCGTCCTTGTCTATACTGTCAGCCTCCTGTCCCTGAAGCCACCACCACCCTCACTAGATTGACAGGGGGTGGCCCTCGGGGACTCACTGGGGGCAAGTCAGCCAAGTGCAGAGGCGGGCAGTTCCCCACCTCCGGACAGGCAGTGGTCAGGGCCTGGCCACGGGAGGGGGTGTAGGGCCAAAAGCCCCTGCGGCCACGCCGGGGACCCAGATCCTCACAGGTCTGGGCTGTCCCTCCCAGAGCCTGGCAGCACCCTGTGGGTCAAGGCTTGTCCTCTGCACCCACCGGAAGGCACAGCTTGGCAGGGCAGAGGGCCAGGCTCAGGGCCCCAGCAGGGCGCAGGGAACATGAGCCACAGGGCAAGCAAGGCTGGGGGGCGGGGACCCAGAGCCCTGCCGACGATGTCCTCACACATCCCTGACACCCTGGCCTTCCGCCCCCGCCCCCCACCAGGCCAGGGGCCGGGAATGTGCTGGGGCTTCAGGAAGCCAGAGGGGCAAGAGAAACCCCAGGGGCAAGACAGGGAATGGCCAGGAGGTGACAGACAGGGGATTTCCATTCCCCGGGAGTGTCGGCCAGGCCCAGGGGCCGAGCAGGGGCGCAGGGATGGTGGCCGCCCACGCCCACGGGTGGAGAAGCCCGGAGTGGGGGGAGACACCGCCCCGTCCCCGGCTGGGCCACGCGGCCCCCGCCAGCCCTCAGCCCACGGGCTGGGCCATCTTGGCGTGCAGGCTCTGGTGGGCGATGAGGTGGGCGCGCTGCTTGAAGCTCTTGTCGCACTCGCCGCAGCCGAAGGGCCGCTCGCCCGTGTGCACGCGCCGGTGGTCCAGCAGGTAGGAGCGCAGCGAGAAGCTCTTGCCGCAGTCACTGCAGCCGAAGGGCTTCTCGCCGGTGTGGATGCGCTGGTGGTCGGCCAGGTAGGCGCTGCGGCTGAAGCTCTTGCCGCACTGGGCGCACGAGAAGGGCTTCTGGCCCGTGTGCACGCCCTGGTGGCGCACCAGGTCCGAGGAGCTGCGGAAGCTCTTCTCGCACTCCTGGCACTTGTGCGGCTTCTCGCCCGTGTGCGTGCGCTGGTGGCGCGCCAGGTCCGAGCCCCAGCGGAAGCGCTTGCCGCACTGGCCGCAGCTGTGCGGCTTCTCGGCCGCCAGGTCCCGGAACTGCCGCCGGCGCGTGGGCGGCCGCCCCCTCCGCGCCCCCGCGGCCCGCCCCAGGGGAGCCCCCGGCCGGGCCTCGCCCCGCCACGTCTCGGCCTCCTCGTGGCTCCGGGACACAGTCACGTCGCCGCCACGGCCCCCGCCACCGCCGGCCTGGCCCTGGAGCGCCGCGGCGGCCTCCTCCAGCCGGGACTGCTTGCTCTGGCTCTCGGGCCCCAAGCCTGCAAGCCGAGAGGGGGCGGCCTCTTCGGTTCCACTGGGTTCTGGGACCAGAGCTGGGGCGAGGCAGAAACGGGAGTCAGAATCAGAAAGCCCTGGGCTACAGAGACCCAAGCCTCAGTTTCCTCGTCCATAAAATAGGGGCCTGATAAAATGCCCGCAGAGAAACACTTCGGAGGCAGAGGCAAGGAAGGAGGCCGGCTGGGCTGATCTGCCTGCAGAGACACTTCCTGATCACACCCCTGACTTTTCCACCCCCGTGTCCGCACTGGGACCCGGTGTCCCACGGTCTGAACCCTGGCTTTGCAAACTCTAGAAATGAATCGATTTAGGTAGTTTGCAAATTATCCAAGCTCTCAGGGCTTCTTACCAGAAACTGAGGAACCACACGGGTTCGGCCTATGTGGCCGCTCTCACCCCACCAGCTTTTGTCCCTTGACTCAAGAACAGAGTTCAATAGGGAGTGATCCTCGTCTTCCCATGGGGTCATGTGGATTAAATGAGATGATCCCCAGACAGTGCTCAGACAGCCTCTAGCTTGGAGAGGGGCCCCAGGAGGGTGGCCCCTGAAGGGCGGGGCCCAGGCGTTGGCACACGACCGGCAGCTGCTTTCACTGTCAGCACCTCTTCCTGGGGCAGGCGAGGGGACCTCACAACTACTTCAGAGTCCCTTGACCTCTCTGAGTCTCAGATCCCTTGTGTGGGAGCCGGGACAACACTTCTACGCACCAGGCTGTGAAAATCACAGGAAAATGCCCGTATGAGAGCTCAGCACAGTGTGGGCACGTTGCAAGCACCCCTCACATGGTAACACACCCTCACAGGCAAACAAAAATGAACATTAACACAAATAAGAAATCACCCAGTGCTCTTAGAAAGACCCAGGAAAAGCCCACTTTCGAGCCAGCTCGAAGACTGGTGTGGGAAAACTGAGGATTCCAGCGGGACATACAGGAGTGTGTGGCCTGCTTGGGCCAACCATCCAGCGCTGGCCCCCTAGGAAGGGTGCCGCCTCCAGTTCAGAAGAGCCAAGGACCCCAGGGATCCTGGCTGCACCCGCTGCTTACCCAGGGCAACATTCCGGGAGTTTTCCCGCTTTATGTCCCAGAAGAGATCCCTCTGAGCAGGGTCCAAGGACCCCCATTCTTCCCGGGAGAAATAGAAGGGAACGTCTCCAAACGTCACAGGTCCCTGGAGTGAGGTGAGAAAACCTGGCTCGGCACTGCCGCTCAGGGCTCCCCAGGCAAGCCATGGGTGGGGACGAGATGGGGGCTGGGATGGGGAACAGGACAGGTCCAGACAGGACCAAGATGGAAGAAGAGGTCTTGATGAAAAGACGAGGCTCCTTTTAGGGACGTGACGACACAGAGGGCCTCAGAGGGGACACAGGGACTAGTAACTCACGTGGACATCAGAGGCAAAGCTGGTGCCGGTGTTCTCTCCGCTACTCCCCTCTTTAAGAGCAGGCAGCTGGGCTGAAGCAAAGAAGAGACCCTCAGAGAGGCCAGCCCAGGCCAGGGGCCAGATCTCGCACACGTACACACACACACAAGCACCCTTTCCTAGGCTCCTTAGAACAGAAATAACCTTCCCGCTACCCTCAAGGCAACAAGCGGGAAGGAGCCAGGCCCCTGCCCGGCCACCTGTGGCCCACAAGCTTACTCACCGCCATGGCTGTGCTGCTCCCAGAGTACAGGTGGCCAGCTTCGTGCCCCCACTTTCACGGGAAGCCCCTTGGCCGGGGGTCCCTGGACTGTGGCCTCGGGTTCCACCTCCTCTGAGGGCACTTCCTGTGCAGGAACCACAACATGCTCATCAGCACCGAGATCAGACGGGGGAGACAGAGCTTAATCCCTGGGAAGGAGACACAGGACACGTCCCTCAGGAGGAAGGGGCGTGGGGAAGGAGATCAATATGGGTCCCGGGAAAATCCAGAGGAGAATGTTCTGTGTGCCCGAGGGCACTCCCCGATCAAGCATGAGGCAAGAACGGCCCCCAAAAGCCAAAATCACAGAGCCACTTACTAAGGGGATGTGGGGGCAGATCTCCAGGCCAAGGGCGAGCCCCACACCCCAGCCACTCATTAGCACCTCCCCAAGGGTCAAAATCGAACACCCCCCAGACAGCAGGGTTCACACGGACAGCTAGCTTCTCACACCCACTCTGGTGCTGTCATGACACATATCACTGTACCCCCAGGGCCCGCCCGACAGCTGAACACGGATGAACATTTGCAGAGCCTGTGTGGAGCTAACATCTGCCTTCCTGGAACACGCCCACTTTGATCCTGCCGCCGCCCTCCAAAGCCACCAAAACTAAACGACTCATTTGGACAGTGTCTTTCAGAACCGCAACACCTGTTATGATATGTACTCCTGCGGATGCTCCCTCTGGCCCCGCAACCCTACCACCCCTGGAGGACTTGTTTCCAGGGAGGACTTCCTCTAAGAGAGGAGACGGCCACCTGCCTTCAGCCAGGAGCCATCCAGGGGCCCCGGGTGTGGGAGGGGCCCCTCACCTGTGGCCACGCTTTCGCCGGCTGCTTCTGCAGGACCTCCACCAAGGCGACGGCCTCCTCCCCACTGCCGGGACACCGCTCGCGCACCCAGTCCTGGACGCCTCCGGGCAGCACGCTCAGGAACTGCTCCAGCACCAGCAGCTCCAGGATCTGCTCCTTGGTGTGCAGCTCAGGCCGCAGCCAGCGGCAGCAGAGCTCCCAGAGCTGGCTGAAGGCCTCGTGGGGCCCGCCCACGTCCCTGTAGCAAAAATGCCGAAAGCGCTGGCGGCAGGCCTCAGAATCCCTGCTGTCTTCTTGCGGGGCGGAGTCCTGCTCCCACGAGGAATCTTCTACCTTTACGATCAGCAGCCCTTCTCCCTCCCCAGGAGCCTCATCCTGAGGCTCTGGGGGTGCTGCCATTCCCCTGGCCTAAGGACTGGTTGGCCTCAATCTGGGCCTGCGAGCCTGCCCCTCAGTCTCCCAGAGGAATCTCCTGTGGCAGCCGGGTGGGCATCTGGACGAAGACTCCTGGGGAAAGAGCAAAAAGGAGGAGGGAGGCAGCTCATGAGCAAACACCAGCCTGCTCCTGGCCTTTCCTGGCCTTGAAATCTTTTTTCGGCTGTCTTTGATCTCCTTGCTCCTGTGACTCTCTTTTTTCTGCCCAAACAGGTCCATAGCTCCTTATCCTCAGCTCTGAAATCCCAAGCTCCCAGGCTTTTACTCCCTGGCCTACTAATATGAGCGTATTTATAGTCTCCATTTATCTCACTAAATGGAAATGTTCATATGTTTTACAGCAAAAACATTTTTGTATGGATTCAGTTTGTAAATATTCATCAAGCTGTACGAACCATGTGTATTTCTGTAGGTGTCCTACACCGTGAGAAAAAATGTAATTAATACGTTTGATTATTATTTATTGCTGCAAATTTTGTTGGTGGGGTCACTTGATATACCATGTGTACTGTATTATCGTTCTCAAATTTGAAAACTTCCGAATTCCAAAACACATCCCGGACTTTGGGTGCCAGCAAAGAGCTCACAGAGACACCTGTCTAAGCCATTTATCCGCAGGTACGTATGAATGAATGACACAAATTTATCCCTTACATCACTACTCTTACAATACTCCTGAAAAGTATGGATTTTGAAAATTTCCTTAATTGCTCTCCTAACAAGAAAATGTGACACAGACCATCGAAATAAAGGGGGGAGGGAGATTTAAGCAATACAGAAACACATAAAAGAGAAACTCCCGTAATTCAGTTGCACCCTCCCATCAACAGCATAACATATGACCTCCCAGACTTTCCCCTGTCCATCTACTGAAAAGGTATCTATAGAAACGGGGAAAACCAAGTGTGTGGGGGGGGGCGGGGGGGAGGGTGTTTACATAAACGAGGTCTTACTGCACATACTATTTTGCAACTTGCTTTTCCACCTAACAATGCTTCTTCGTTAGCCGCTCTGCGAGATTCCACCGTACGAATGCGCTCCAGTAAGAGATTCACGTCGTTTCCAGTCCTCTACTACACACTAAGCACTTTATTTACTTTGTTCTTACACTCCTCGCAACGCCCCTGAAAGGTACGCGCTCCATCCTCATCCTCCAGTGACCATGGAGAAGGCTGCGCTCGGAGAGGGCCAGGGACTCACCAGGGTCGCTCGCAGGACGCGGCGGGCGAGAAGGCGGACCTGGTCGGAGCCCTGCGCTCCGACCCCGGCGGCCTCGCCTGCGCGCAGCTGAGAGGGAGCGGGCGGGTAGTGGACACAGGCGCGTCCCCACCCCCGGCACTTCCCAGAGGCACGCGCCCCCTTCGGCCTCCGTCTCGGGACGCCGACCCCGGCCGCCCGGAGCCCCGACGTCGATCTCGGAGCTCGGAGGCCCGCGTCCCGGGTCCCGCCCCCCGGCTACACACCGCCCACAACCGCCCAGGGTTCCTAGTTCCGCCGCCAGGTCCCTGAGCCGGAAGTCCGCGCGGGGCTCGCCGGGAACAACAAGGCGCATGCGCCGCAACAAGCCCTCGAACTACATGCCCCAGGAGGCCGTTCGCCCAATCGAGTCCGCCTTCTCCCCGATGGATAGCCAATGAACGGGGAGAATTTCCAAAGTTGGCCAATCAGGAGGCGGTGGCGCCCTGCGCCTCACCACCAATGCCCCCATACTCAGGTCTGTTTCTAGTTTCGTGCTTTCAGATTTCTCTGAAAATCTAAAAGGCCACTTAAGGGCGAGAAGGGAAAGACAAGCCCGGTGTGGTGGGTCGAGCCGGCCTCTGGCCCAGCCACGAGTAGAGCTCCTGATCCGCCGGAAGGGATCCCCTGAGGACGAACTCTTCCTTCCGCCCTCCTTGAGTCAGACGAGGGCGGAAGGCTGAAGGCCCGCGCGCGACCCAGGAACTGGAGCTCGGCCCCGGGAGACTCATTTCCAGCCCCTTGGGTCCCGCCCTCGCCTCAGTCTTTACCGCCCCTAGAGAGGCGTGGAGCTTCCTGGGAAATGCAGTCCAGTGAGGGACGCGGAGCCTCCTGCGGCGACTCTCTCCGCCCCCGGTCCGGGCCGCCCCCCCCCCCCCCCCCGAGCTTCAGCCTGGGTTGTGCAGCGGGACGCGGCCGGCTGGGACGCTGACCCCGGGGAGCCCCGCCTCGCTTTCCCACCGGCAGCTTCGTCTGCGGGGCAGCGGGGTCCTCGGGGAGGAGAGCGCTGGGTTCTTTCCATGTACTTGTACCTGCTCCTACACTCTACTTCTCTACCTGGAGATCTGAGGCTCCAGATCTTTTCCTGAAACATAAAGAGCTCTCTTGTTTTGATTTGTTTTGATTATGCAAGTGTTACATGCTTAGTGTAGAAAAGAAAATAAAGTATGAAAAATTATAAAGTTATTTATATCCACAAGGCTAGCTCCCTCAATCTGCTCAAATGTCACTCCCTCCAAGTGGCTTCCCCTAATCCTATGTAAACAGCACCCCCACCATGCTTCTGCCCTGCCTTGTTTTTCTTTTATCGCTGCCTAACAGACTTGTGTAATATTTGTCTCCCAGTACTCGAGTATAAGCTCCGTGAGGTCAGAGTTTTCACTGCCCTACTCCCAGCACCTGGATTTGTGTCTGGCACAATATTGTTGAATAACTGAGGGCAAAAATAATGGAAGGTGAAAAAATATTCCCAATAAGGCCATTCAGAAGTGAGTATCATTAATATTTTAGCCTGTTCTTACACATCTATGGATATCTGTACTGTAGATCTGGAATCCTTCTATGTAAGTATTGTAAGTATTATAGGTTGACTCAAAAGTCCATCAAGGATATCTTTGCAGGTCACCCTATGTAAATAAAATGCATCTCTTTTGCAGACTGCATAGTATTCCATAGCATGCAAGTTCCATATTTTATTTTAAATCGCTTCCTCTTGGACAATTAGAATTTTTCCATTTTTCCGTATGTGCAGATCGTTTACGCAAACACCCACCTTCCACTATTTGCTTGAACCATTTGCTGGAGAGCAAATGCCAAGCCTGCTCTGTGAAGGCTGCTAAAGTGGCTGCTGCTCTACTGGCCCCGTGGAAAACTGCCCAGGGGAGAAAAAAACTTGAAAGTCCCCTTTTCTAGGTGTGGATTTGGGATTTACAGTGTTCTTCCATCGCCCTCTATTGGCAAAGACTAGCATCAAGTTGACTAGCGAAGTAGAAAGGTCTACAGGCTGTAGTATCGCAGCGGGTGACAAAATGTGTGTGTTGGGGGCTGAGAAACAAAAAACTGGCACATTTACCATATATATTATCGGGCATTGCTGGCAGATGACAAGTCATTTGTATACGATTACATTGAAATCAATCACCCAGTAGCACTTCTTTTTCTTTCTAATTTTAGTTTATTTTTCTAGCTAGGAAGTATAATCTATAAATAATGAAAAAGTCAACATTCTCTTTCCAGAAAATTTATATTCATTTCCGGAATTTAGAGTCATCATTTTCTTAGTCTTAGTCCAGAACCCTCGAAACAGTGTCAGAAATTGAGGACAGGGGCGCCTGGGTGGCTTAGTCGGTTGAGCGGCCGACTTCGGCTCAGGTCACGATCTCGCGATCCATGAGTTCGAGCCCCGCGTTGGGCTCTGGGCTGACAGCTCGGAGCCTGGAACCTGTTTCGGATTCTGTGTCTCCCTCTCTCTCTGACCCTCCCTCGTTCATGCTCTGTCTCTCTCTGTCTCAAAAATAAATAAACGTTTAAAAAAAATTAAAAAAAAATTGAGGACAGTAGGCATCATTGTCTTGGTTAATAAACAGTTTTGTGATTTATAACTGTCCATTGTTTGTCTCTGATATATATTCATGCTCATACTAAGGAGCATCTATTCTCATTTGCAGCAGAAAAGCTACTAGCTGTTCCCCAATATCTGTTTTGTCCCTCTATAGTAAGAATTTGGGGGGCACCTGGGGGGCTCGGTTAAGCCTCTGGCTTCGGTTCAGGTCATGATCTCACGGTTTGTTGAGTTCAAGCCCGTGTCAGGCTCTGAGCTGAGCCTGCCTCCGATTCTACCTCTCTCTCTCTGTGTCCCTCCCCCGCTCACGCTCTGTTGCAGTCTCAAAAATGAATGTTAGAAAAAAACTAAACAGTTTTTCAATGGGCACATGGCCGTTCAGAATAAGGAGTATACCTTCCCAGCCTCCCCTGCAGCTAAGTATGGCCATGTACTTAAACTGAAGGCGAGGAGATGTGAGAAGACATGATTTTTTATGTATCTTGTTCGAAAGGGATGGGTCATGTCTTCCTATTTTCTTTTCCCCAGCTGCTAGCAGAAATTTGGACCTAAAGGCACGGGCCATGCCAATGAAAGTAACCCCCAGAGGTATCAAAGCAATAAGATGGAAAGTGTCTGGATTCCCGACGATTGTGGAACGCACCAAACTAGCCCTAGATTCATACCCAAGCAGTGATGTGAGAAAGAAATAGATATGGCGTTTAAGCCATTATTGCCTACTGAGAGGTTTTTTTTTCATTAAAAATAGATGATAAAGGAGCACCTGGGTGGCTCAGTCAGCTGTGTCTGACTTCGGCTAAAGTCTTGATCTCTCAAGTTGAAGCCCTGCGACGGGCCCTATGCTGACAGCTCGGAGCCTAGAGCCTGCTTCAGATTGTGTGTCTCCCCCGTTTTCTCCCCCCCCCCCCCCCACCCCACGCACACACACAAACACCTCTCTCAAAAATAAACACACACCAAAAAAAATGTTAAAGAGATACAAATAAAAATATTTATTTTTATTATTTCCCCTATAGGATACTGGCTATTCAGAATTTCCATGTCTTCCTGCCTCAATTTTGACAGTTTTTAAAGTTTCTCTAGGAAATCATTCCTTTCATCTGCAATTTGTACATGGTATTCCCATTTGATAAAAAATGTTTAAATTAGCATGTATTGGGGCGCCTGGGTGCCTCAGGCAGTTAAGTGTCTGCCTCCAGTTCAGGTCACGATCTCACGGCTGGTGGTTTCGAGCCTGGCATCAGGTTCTCTGCTATCGGTGCACAGCCCACTTCGGATCCTGTGTCCCTCCCTCTCTGCCCCACCCCCACTTGCCTGCTGTCTTTCAAAAACATACATAAAAACATTTAAACATGAGCACGTATGGTTCAATGCTACTCCTTGTTTTGGGATGGTGAGATAAGGGCCTGGGTCCGTGCTGGCTCTGCAGGCTAGGGCCGCCACACTTGTCCTGACGTAGGCTGCCTACCTCCAGCCCACCTGCGCATGTTATCGTGAGAAATACACTGACATCTTGGTTAAGATCCTGCTCTTTTGGATCCGTTATTCGTAGTTGAACTGAATCCTAACTGATTCACTACCTCCTAAGAGTGTGAAAGGATTCAATAAGTAAGAGAATATATATGTAAGACCACTTAGCCCAGCACTAACTTTTAACACACAAGAAGTGCTCAGTAAAGAGTGGTTTAGTCCCAGGGAGTTCAGCATCGCCAGGAACCTGTCACCTGGGCATGCCCACAGGAGGGTGGGGTACTTAAGAGGGTGCAGGATTTAGGCCCTCCAGGCCTTTTTTTCATTTTCTCCTTAAGATTTGAGCCAAACTTGTTCTGGTCAGTGGCCTGTGGGGACTGTAGTACTAATCTTCATGACTAGTCCATAACTTTGTTAGTTGAGAAGAGAAAAACAGGTGCTCTAGGAGGTGACAGAGGTGCAGGCCACAGAGTGCTGTCTTTACAACCCAGGCAAGGGATCGTGTCTGACCACATGCCCCAGAACGGCCAGAGGAGGAAGGGTGAACGATCCTCATAACCTCCTTTCTCCACCCTCTGCCACACGCCAAGGAGAAACTTCAGACCACAGTCCTGGGCACTGTCACCTTCTAGCCTCCCCTCCTGCAGTCATCTCCTACCTTCCCTCCCAAGAGAGGTGTCATTTCAGTCTCTTCCTGGTGGCCGGGCCTTTATTCATTCTGTTTCCTGTGCATGAAGTTCTGCCCCCAAATCCTAGTAAAATGGCTTCTTGTCTTTTCCAAGTCTCAGTTTAAAACTTCCCTCCTTGGGGCGCCTGGGTGGCGCAGTCGGTTAAGCGTCCGACTTCAGCCAGGTCACGATCTCACGGTCTGTGAGTTCGAGCCCCGCGTCGGGCTCTGGGCTGATGGCTCAGAGCCTGGAGCCTGTTTCCGATTCTGTGTCTCCCTCTCTCTCTGCCCCTTCCCCGTTCATGCTGTCTCTCTCTGTCCCAAAAATAAATAAAAAACGTTGAAAAAAAAATAAATAAAACTTCCCTCCTTGAAGAGGCCCTTTCTGACAATCCGTTCCTAATATTGTTTCACCCGTTCCTTTCTTTCTGATATTTGTCACTACTCGAAATTAATGTTTGTGTCACTTATCTGCATGTCGGTCTCCCTCACTAGACCGGAACCCCGAGAGGGCAAAGATCTTTTCTGGCCTTTTCACCGCTTATTCCTCAAGGTTTAGCAAAGAACGTGGAACACTCGCATTCATTCCGTATCTGAAAAATGAATGAGTGAATGCAGCAAAGCCCCTATTTAACGTTTCCCCGCCCTTTACCTCCCTCCACACAGCACCCAGAGCCACCCCCACACCCCTCGCACTAGCCACCTCAGTCTCCCCGGCTCCCCCCGGAAGAGGACTGAGCTCTCCTTCCAGGCCGTTCCCGCCCCCGCGCCCGGCTCTCCCTGGCAGCACCGTCAGGCCCTGCTCCAAGGCTTGGAAGGTGCTAGAGCGCCGGCCGGCGGGAGGAGCGCAGGCGGCCACCGAGCTCCAGTGCAGGGGTCGTAGGTGCCTGCTGGGTTCGGGGTCCCGGAGTCTCCAGCCAGCAACGAGACGAGAGGACTGAGGGCGCCAAGCCGGAAGTGGCTCTGGCCCAGGCCCTCAGCCCTCTGCCCACGTCCAGTCTAGGACCGCAGGAGGCTTTGCATCTCGGTAAGCCCAGGCCGGCTGTGAAGTCTCGCGGGTTGGCGAAGCCAGTAATCCAGCACCCGGTCGTTGGACCCTTCTGAGCCCGACGCGTGGCAGAGAAGAAAAGGGAAATTATCAAAGCGGAGATTTCCGGCCATTACCGGGCAATCTTGCGGCCCGGGGAGCGGAAGGGTGAGAGAGACGGTCGTGATTGGCCGGGTCCACCGGTGCCCGCCTCTTGCCCCGCCCAGACGTCTGATTGGCTAAGGGCAAGGGTGGGGGCGGGACATTCCGGAACCCATCCTCCTTGCTGTGAGGGCGCCCAGTGAGCTTGTCCCGCTTACGAGACCTTCTCACGCGTCCCGCCTCCCTACCGCGCGGAGTCACCCCAGCGAGGGAAGAAATGCCCCCAGACCGAGCTGGGCCCTGAGCCCCTTCGACCGGACTGGGCCTTGCCTTCGGGCCGCACAGGAAGCGGGTGGGGAGCCCACACGGAATATTCCCCGCCTCCGCCCGCCCTCGCCCTTCTTTTGACCGCGCAGGCGCAGGTAAACGGTGAGCACCCAGGTGGGGCTCTCCCGAGCCGAACCGAGCAGCTGGGCGGTCAGGTGTGAGCAGAAGCCAGAAGGAAACAGGCCACATCCGAGCGGATACCCAGAGACACGAAGGCCCTTCCCTGGCGTCCCCCCGCCTGGCCAGCTGCCTCTCCCCCACCAAATCACGAACGCCCTTCGGCCTGACATTCTAGGCCCTTCCAAGATACCTCACCTGCCTCTGCCGTCTTAGTTGCTCTTGTCAAATATCTAAATTGCCAAGTTCCACTCTTAAAATGTTCCCGACAGCTTTGTCCCAGAATGGTGGGCCTCTGGATGGGTCTCTAGGGAGAAGTGGACTGAGACCCACGGAGCCCTTGGTATCATGACCCTCCACATGGTGCTATGAAAAGGGGAAACAGTTTCTCCTGGAGAGCGTGGCGTCGGAGTCCCTCAGAGGCCAGAGTGAAGTCTTTAAATGAGCCTCTGGCTCACTCAACAGATCTGAGTGTTTCAAGTCCTGGCACACTGGTCATGAAGCCCCAGGAAGCAAATAAATAACCACTCTGTGCTAAGCTTGCACCAAGTGACCCACGCTCTCAATAGCGTTGTAGTAAGTGTCTTTCCTGCCTCTCTCTCTTTCATCAGAAAACTCGTTCCTGGGAGCAGCAAGTCTGCTTTATGGGTACAAGTCCCCCTTGCCCCTTACACTGAGCCAAGCTGAGAAATCCCATTTCTGAGTGACCAGATCCCTGAAGACAAGCTGAACGGAGGAAACAGCTTTCCTTGTCGCCTTTTCAAGAAAGAGCCATCTAACTCAACCAGTCCCGTAGCAACCCAACCCTAGATCCCACGGAGACCTCCCAGACACAACCAAGTTCTGCCTGGACCTCCGCTAGTCAGCAGCTTTCTGGCATGCCGCTGATTACCCACCTCCCACCCCACTTGCCATCTCCAGCTGGGTTCAGCACCCCTGAAGGTCAAGTTTACAGTCTGTCGTACTCTTTTTAGACAGCCCTACCTCGTAACATGCATTAGACAGTCAGTAGTTGTCAGGGTGCATGGAAAGAGGAGTATTCTTTACACAACAAAATTCCTGGACCTGAACCCCAGCTCCCAGCTCACTGGTTGTTGGCTAAGTTACTGGATTTCTCTCTCAGCCTCAGTTTCCTCATCTACAGAACTGGGATGGAATCCACTGCTCAGTTATGGAGCGTAGAAGCGACAGACATACACGGCACTTGGTCTCACACCTGGCAGGCAGCCGCTTAACTGGCAGCGATTACTATTCTCAGTCCAGTCTCCTCTCCAAACTCCCCTAGAGCTTGATCCATGGAAGCAGGTGGAGCCTCAACAGCCTCCCTCAAGCAGATGTCCTCAAGGTCAGTTGATGACAGAAGTGAATGTTATCTTGGGAGCCGAGCTGCAAATCTTGGATAATAAGCGGCTGAGCCCATTCCTCCCCAGGGGAAAAAAAAAATAAAGAATGGGAAACAGAAGCTACAGAGGTCAAAAACCAGAAGGCCAAGAGTAGAAGACCCAGGCAGAGGCAGATAGGGCAAATGATAAAAGACATGTACGAAGAGGCCAAGGAGGTGAAAAGTAGCAGAGGGAGCTGGTGGCAACCTTTGAAGGCACCAGGAGGGCCAGTGGTCCCTGTTAAGAGAGGAATCCTCACTGGATTGCGGCTGGGCCCCAGTGGAAGCAGATGGAAAATGTTCAATCACATAAGGCTTCCGGTGCCTGAGACAGGAGACAGAGCACCAGACAAGGAACAGGAGCTTCCATGCTGGCTCAGCCCTGCTCCAGCTCCCAAAGAGAAGAGCCGGGGGAGGGTCCAGGGCTCAGCAGTCAATGTGCCCGGGACAAGAGTGATGGCAGCAGGAGCAGACCGCCCTGGCAGGGGGACCCACGGTCTCAGAAGTGGCTGGTTGGCTCCAGGTTTCTGTGCCCAGAAGCCTTTGCTTGTAGACTTAGGGTCCTGATGCTTTGGAATGGCCCCAAGCCAGGTCAAGGCTGGGGACGGGAGTACCCAAGCCCCACAACCAGGATTTCAGGGACGCCTCAGCCACGTTGGCGCCAACGTGGCTGACCCGGGAACCCCGGGAGTCGGCGTCACCACCGGGGCCCCCACGAGACAGAGCATAGGCGGTGGCTGGAACTCCAAGGCCTTTAATTCGCAGCTAGCGTGCCTGCGCCTCGCCCCAGCTACTCCCCACGGTCATGCCCCGCCCCCATGCCAGCACCTCCCTCTCCCTGCCCACACCCCCTCTCACGCAGCCCGAGCGTCTCCCCCACGGCCACCCCCCCCCACCCCGCCTCCTAAGTGGGAGCCGGCGGAGGTGCCGCCAGGGCCCCCGCCGCCCCCAGCATCAGCACGGCCAGGGCCTTGGGCCCCGTGGTGTGGATCTTCTCGTGCCGGTGCAGGTTGGAGCGGCGGCTGAAGCTCTTGCCACAGAGCGGGCAGGAGTAGGGCCGGACGCCGCGGTGGGTGCGCTGGTGGGCGGTGAGGTGCGAGCTGTGGCTGAAGCTCTTGCCGCAGTCGAGGCAGTGGTAGGGCTTCTCGCCCGTGTGCGTGCGGTTGTGCGCGATGAGGTTGGAGCGCTGGCTGAAGCACTTGCCGCACTCGGGGCACGGGTAGGGCTTGACCCCGGTGTGCGTGCGCTGGTGGGTGACCAGGGCCGAGCTCTGCGTGAAGCACTTGCCACAGATGGGGCACTTGTGGGGCTTGGCGCCCGTGTGGGTGCCCTGGTGGGTGACCAGGTCCGAGCGGCGGGTGAAGCGCTTGGCGCAGCGGTCGCACACGTAGGGCTTCTCGCCTGTGTGGATGCGCTGGTGCTGGATGAGCGTCGAGTGGTGGCTGAAGCTCTTCCAGCAGGACGGGCAGGTGTAGGGCTTCTCGCCCGTGTGGATGATCTGGTGCTGGATGAGGTGCGAGCTGCGGCCGAAGCGCTTGCCGCAGTCCGTGCAGGCGTAGGGCTTCTCGCCCGTGTGCGTGCGCCGGTGTGTCACCAGGTGCGAGTGCCAGCTGAAGCCCTTGCCGCACTGCTCGCACGTGTACGTCTTCTTGCCCGCGTCCCCGTCGGGGGCCAGGCCCTCCTCGCTGCCCTCGGGGGTGGCCGTCCGCCCCTCTCTGGGTTTCTCTGGGAGGCGGCCCTCCGGGGCTTTCGCCAGGCTGGCATCGGGCGGGGCCGGTTTCGCCGGCCTCTCGTCTGGGGGGCCCGGCTGCGCATCGTCTCTGGCTGCCCCTGAGCTCTGGCCGCTGGCCACCTGCTGCCCGCGCGGCAGGCCGTTCGCCTGCGCTCTCCCCACCCTGCTTCGGAAGGACTTCGCGTCCCGGAGGGCTGCCGGGGATGGGGCCGGCTCCTCCTTCCCCACCTCAATGGCTCCTGGAGAAAGAGGGTTTCCGGCAAGAGAGAGACTTTGGTGAGGGACCCAGGGGGACTCTGGAGATGGAGGTAAGAGCAGGGATCCTGGAAGTAAAAGCCACCCCCTGGAGAAGACGGGGAGCTGAAGGCCCTCCCCTGGAAGGGCCTTGTGCCTGAACCCCAGGGGAAACGGAGAGTCCAGGCTGACGAGGGGCGCCTGGGAGTGACAGCAGTGACCCCACCGCCCCGCCCACCTGCCACCCCTGCACGCACCTGTCTTCTCCTCATCTCCCATCTGCCGGCAGGAGCCCGAGGCCTCACCCTTGCCCTGTCCTTGGGAGGCCCAGAAAGGTCTGCTGAAGGGAAACCCTGGCCAAAAAGAGACAAGAGATGCTGCGCTCAGTCACCAGGTGGCACAGCAGGGGACACCCCCTCCCCACCCCCACCTGCCAAGGACACAGCTCTGCACACGTGGGGTAAAACTAAGCGAGTTCAAACATCACTTGGGGTCAGGTGTCCACCCGTCTCTAGGAAGCAGGTTCTGGGGTAACTGCCAGACACACTCCCCTCAGGGCTGAGCTGGGCCCCATCTAGTATCCCTGAACGAGCGCCAGGAGTAACGGGAGAGGGGGTGAGTGAGGCCAGCTGCCCACGACCCCCTTATGGCACACAGGCCCCCAGCAGCGGCCCGGCAATGTTTCCCGCTCCTGCACCTTCCCAGACCGTGAGCAGAAAGGGCTCCCGGGGGAGGGGCGGTGGGGGACAGGAAGCCAAGTGGGAGGGCCTGGGCGAGGAGGCCGGCTGTGGTGACCACCCAGAAGTCAGGGACCAAAGGCGAACTGGCCAAGTCTCCTGGGGCATGAGCCTGGGGATTCTGGTCAAGTCAGTAAGAGAGCGGAGGAGCCCAGCCTCCACGCCCTGACCCCAGCCCTGCACCAGGGAAGGAATGCGTTGGACCAACCAGTGGGTAGGGCATCCGTTAGGCTTGCCATGGGCTGCAAATGGGTGCTGGGTTCCCTGTGATCTCCCAGGACTTGCCTGGACCTGCCGGTCTGTGCCCCGGGCATGGTTAACAGTGGGTGGTGAGCAAGCCTGAGATAATTAAAGGACTGAGCTGCCCAGACCCGGAGGCCCACCATCAGAGTCAAGGGGGGATTCCCAAGCCCCCAGCTCCACTGGACTAGCCAGTGTGCAACTGATGTGTACTGACAGACAGACAGACAGACTGGATGAATGAAAGAATGAATGACAGTCAATGAACGGGTGCTCTGAGTTTTCCATCCGACCTCGTAGAATTCTGCCAAGAAAACCAGAGTCTGAAAAAAGTGCTGGGACTTTACTTACCGTGAGAAAAATGTCCTCTCCAAGAGGACAGGCCCCTCGGGGTGGATGTGAGACAGCAAGGGGTCTGGGGGCCTGGAGAGAGGAGCTGACCGTGACTCGCCCCACCCCCCGGCCAGCAGCTCCCGATGCAGAGCCCAGACACCGGTGTCCACGCAGACACCTCTCACACGGGGCTCGGAGGGGCAGGAAGCTGGAGCGGAGCGAGCACTTCCGAAGAGCCAGGAGCAGAACCCCCAGGTCAGTCCTTCCCTCCCCCCCCCCCCCCCCCTCCCCCGCGAGGCGGCTAGCCCGAAGGGCAAGTTTGAGTTTAATAAAGCGAAATAAAAAGTGAAATAAATAAAAAGCAGCTCCAGCCACATTTCTCGTGCTGAGCGGCCACATCTGGCCCGAGGGCTCGTGGCTACCACGTCAGCACAGCTGGAGCGCACGTCCTTCACCAGGAAGGTGCCGTGGAACGGCGCGGTCCAGAGGAGCGGCGAGAAGGACTTCGTGCCCTGGAAGGGGAGGAGGAGGTAAGGGTGGGAGGGCCCCACCTCAGGCACGACCCGGCCCTTACCCAAGGACAGCCCGTTCCTCTTCTGCAGGACGTCCCTGTAGAAGTTCTGCTGCGCGTGGTCCAGCCGCCCCCACTCCTCCCGGGAGAGGTACAGGGCCACGTCCTCGAAGGTCACTGGCATCTGCAACAACACAAAACGCCCACTCTCCAGGACACGCCAGGACCCCCCGGAGGGGCACCATGGCTCCAAGAGGAAGGCGACCCGGCTCCCGACCCACTGCCCCGAGTGAGCCCCGCTCTCGTGTCTGCTGGTGAAGCAGGACGGCCGCCCGAGGGTGGCTTCGCGGGGGCAAGAACGAGGCGGCTGTGTACAACCCGGGAGACAGAAACAAGCGTCCCTTTCGGGCGCCGCAGCCGAAGCTCGGGGTCTCCACGCACACTCCCCTGCAGCCCCCACCCTCCGCTGGCGCTCGCATCCAGGGGACGATGTGGTTCCTCCACATCCCTCTGCTGTTCCTCCAGCCCTGGACTTGGACGGGGACACTCACCTGGGACCAGGCGGTGAGGAGCGCCGCAGCCATCTGCCGGTCTCTGGTCCTCCCCTCACGAGAGAGCACAGGGATCTGGGGGGAGGGGAGGGCTGAGAGAGGACAGAGGTGCTCAGGGCGGCCGCCTCGCCCCGCCTACCAGGGACACCCCCCGCTGCCTCAAACTGCACCCCGACCTGACCCAGGAAGAGGGTCAGTAGCCTCTGTGCAGTCAGAGGCTCCCAGGCTGTGCGGGAGAGGCGTGTCGGGGGCAGGTGCGCACACGTGCAGGCCTCTCCGTGGCAGGAGAGCTCGTGCCCTCCCCGCCTCTGCACCAGACTCCACCTCTCCCCACAGCTGCCACCGAGAAGGGGCCCCTCTCCGCGCCCCTCTCCATCCCTTTCCTCACCTCCTCCGGGCAGGAAAAGAGCTTTGTCCTTAGAGCCCTGGCTTAGGGACACCCAGCCCTGCTCTCCTCGGGCCCCGGCCCCCTGCGATGCCCCCTCAGGCTGTGGCTCTTCCGGCTCCGTCTTGATGTGGGGAGACTCCTGAGCAGCTCCCAAAGGCACCGTCTCCTCTGACTCAGAAAGCATTTCTTGACGAGGATGCCCATGACCTGGAACCTAGGAATGACAGCCCCCATCAGCACCTGGGCAGACAATGGGAGACGCGGCCGAGCCCCACACCCGAGGGGCCTGGCAGCGGCCGACACCCAGGTGGCCAAACACACCCGAATGCAACTCACTGCTGGCCTTGCTTCCTTGTCCCGGCCCTGGGGCCGCGCACGTGCCTGGTTCGCCCCCACAAGGCCGGGACAGCACGGGAAGGAAGGGAGGCTCGAGGCCGGGCCAGGGGCGGGCTGGCCAGGTGCCCACAGAGCAGGTGTCTCCTCCCCGTTCCAGCCTCGTACCTCCCACAGCAGTGTGGACGGTTCCTCTTTCATGTTAGAGGACACCAAGTGCGGTGGGCTGAATGGTGTCCCCCAAATTTCACGTCTGCCTGGAACCTCACAATGTGACCTTATTTGGAAAAAAAAAGGTCTCTGCTGATGTAATCAGTAAAGGATCTTGAGATGAAATCATTCTGCATTTAGACTGGGCCCTAGATCCAACGACCAGTGTCCTTAGAACGAATTCTAGTTGTTTTATGCCATCCAGACATAGGAAACGAACACACCCAGGCTCAGAGATCGACCATGGCCCAAGATTGCAGAGCCTGTGAATTCTCAGCCAGCACTTGAACTCCGAGTGTATCTGATTCACAAGTCAGCCCCAGGGCCACCATTTCCTGAATATGACAGGGAGGTATCATGTGGCCCTGGGCCATTTCCAGCCTGACTCAATTCGGTCACGGAAGCTGGAGTTTTTTTAGTTTGGAGAAACAAGTCCAAGGGTACCTCTAACTGTGCCGAGGCCTGTGCCCACCTTCGTCTGACAGAAGGAGACCTCCTCCCGGCTCACCCCTGCAGCACCACCCACCGCAACTCGTCCAGGGTTCTCCAGGGTCCTCCTAATTTGTCCCTTCTTCACATCAACCTCGGGTGGGAAGGTCAGGCAACCGGGGCTTGATCCAGACCAGCCCCTCGCTCGCCGCTCAACCCTGAGTGGGCACCGCCTTCCCACAAACCTCAAGAGCTTTGGGAAAGTCACTTCCTTTGCATTGGGAGGCTCCTGGTGAGGCCTCATCATCACCCACAGCACAGGGACTGGCCAGGCTTCTGCTGAGAACTCAGACTTCTCTCTCCACACCGCCCCCACGTCTGTGTATATCAGAGCCCCAAAGGGAAGACCCTCAGGCCAGGAGTTGAAGGGCCTGGGAGCCACACGAGCCAGGCAGCCTCCAAAACTCAGCTACTCTGCCTCACGCACAGATTCCCTGTGAGAAAGAGCTGCCTACTCTGGAACATTCTGGATAAACACAGAGCGGTGCCAGAAATAATTACTATAACTGTACTGTGCGAGTTGACAGAATCCAGCAGGAGAGAATGTCAGGGGCGTGCGAGGCCCAGTGGGTGTTACAAAGGCATCGTGGAAGCGAAAGCACACAGTGTTGACACATCTTTGTACCTTCTGTACGAAAGTGCGAGACGTAACGCAGATGGTCCCTGACTCTCAACGGCTCAGCTTAACGAACTTTCGACTTTATGATGGTACAGAAACGGCACACATTGGGTAGAAACCACACTTCGAAGTCTGAAAATGCCCCTTTCCCTGGGCTAAGCGATGTGTACCACGGTCCTGGCTCAGGACGCCAGGCGGCCGGAGACATGGCTTCCGGTCAGCCGCGTGGTCACGAGCGTAAATGACCACAAACCGGTGGCCATTCTGTCTTCCTCCTTCAGCACGGTGTTCAGTACATCACGTGAGATACTCAGCCCTAAATTACGAGATCGGCTTTGGGTTAGGTGGTTTTACCCAATGTAGGCTGCTCTGAGTGTTCTGAGCACGTTTAAGGTAGGTGAGATTAGGCTCTGATGCTCAGTAGAGCATGTATTAAATGCGTTTTCCACTTAATAATATTTTCAGCTTACAGCGGGTTTATCAGGATGTAAGCCCATGGTGAGCTGAGGGAGATCTGCTCTTGATTTGTGCTTGTCCTTACACCTGCTCGTTGAGGCGATCTGTTTCTCTGATCTAGGTTCTGGTTGCTGTGGGTGTTGTTATTGCATATGTTACAATAACGATCTGGATGAGACAGGTGGCAACAGCAGGCAGGCACAGGGTATACATTTTATGGACGACACACCTGGTTCCCAGGAGCCAGGGGACTTGCCCAAGGTCACACACCTGGCTGCAGCTGACTCATATTCCTTTGATTCCAAGCTCAGGGGCCCAGGTCCTCCCGCAGGGTGTAATTACACACATGGGCAACAGGTACAGGAAGGAGACAAGGTGCTCAGACCCAGGGAGAGAGGAGATGGGGTGCTAGGCAGGAAGGAGCGGAGAGTAAACCGGGGCTCCCCCACGTGCGCTGGGCACAACCTCACCAGTAGGACCCCCACGCAGGCTCCCCGCTATTTCATGTAGCCTTTGGCCGACAGACTCCTGAACTCAGCAGGCAGAGGCGAGCAGCTCTCTGGCTGTCAATTCCCAGTGGAAGAACTTTCTCGTCATAGCACCAACTCCTCCCATCACCCCCATCCGCCCCAGTGAGTCTAAGTCTTCCACTGGCGTAGACACCCTACCTTGAAAACCCCCTCCCGCTCCAATCCCTTCCAGGGCATGCATCCCTCGCCCAGCGCCCCGCCCATACCTCTCGGGCTCTCTCCTTGTCCTGGGTAGCCTGGGCGGCTCTGCCGTCTGCAGACATTTCTATCTCAGAGGTAGAAAGCACAGCTCCGTCGTTTCTCCCTTCTTATTGGCCAAGCCCCCTCCAGCTTCTGGCCAGGAGCCTACCAGAGCAGAAACGTAAGTCAGCCATCGTCTCCTGGACACCTCCAAAGCACCCTGGAAGTCCCCACGCAAGCCCAGACCCACGCTTGGTCCCAATCAGAAATAAAGCCTCCCCAGATGCCCTCCGGTGACCTCATTCTCTCTGGTGTTGTTTGGTCCCTCACTTGACAGAATGCTGTTTTGTATCATCCCCTTTGTCGCTGAAGCCAGAACTCTGCATCTCAGAGCAACCAGTTTAGGGAAAGCCAGAGCTGACTCGGCATCTGGATCTCCTGTCATCAGGAGCCGAAAGGTCTGCAGAGACCGTACAAAACAGGTGCTGGGTGTGACCCCACCCATCACAGCCGGCTCAGCTGAGGAATCTGGGCCCCCCTGTCTCCCAGACGCAGGGCGCACACAGCCTGCGCTCAGCCTGACTCCGCCGCCTGGGATCCAGAAATTGAGCTGCCCGGTCTCAGCAGCCCTCCCTGCAGCGGTAACCACCCGACGGGCACAAGAGTCCATCCTGTTCACGGGCCTGGATGGCCCACGTCCTTCCGCTTCCCGAACCTGGGTCCGGGCCCCCTTCTCTCCCCACCAGCCTGAAGCCTTCCACCTTTGACCCCGTCCCCTCCCACCAGCTGGCCACCCGCGTGGATCTCGGGATCCAGGCGCCCTCCCCGGCGCCCCTCTCACCGAAGTGGAGGCGGAGGGGGCACCTCGGGCGCTGGGGGCCCCCTCCCCCGGGAAGGGAGACTCCACAGCCTACACCGGGCCGGGGAGCCGGGTGGAGACTGGGATTAGGGACAACAGGAAGTCCCTCCCATATCCCGTTCCCCACGCAGCTGCAGCCCTACAGGGTTCCCAGCTTCGAGCGTTCCGGGGCTGGGGTCCGGAGCTGGGCTGCACCTGCGCTAGGCAGGGACCTGAGTCCTAGATCTGCACTGCCAGCTGATGATCGCTTTACCTGGTATGTTCTTGTGCTACCAGTAGAGCAGGATGCGGAGATGGGAAAACAAATTCTGTGGAAGGACCAGATATTTGACGTTTCAAAGAAGGCACTGCGGCTGTCCTCACAGGAGTGAGGGCACTTTTCTGGTAGAGGGGCACGATGGTCCTTCACAACACACAGGGCCTCTGAAGGTCTTATGGTCTCTCACGGTCCTGGATTTCACGTAAGGCGCCCAGGCTGGTGAGCAGGTCAGGTCGTCTGGGCTCTCCCCAAGACTGGCACGGAGTTCTCTCTCCCTCAGAGCAAACTTAGGAAATAGATAGGTCCAGGAACTCTCCTCTCCACCACCCCCCACCCCATGCCCCACAGCTTGAAAAGATGTGGGACCAATCTGATTTTTCTAGATCTGCACTCCCCCAGCTCCCTCTCAAGGCCAGGGAGAGCAGGGGTAAAAGGGTCTGACCCAGCTATATCGACAGGGGCCCGGACTGCATACCCCACCACTTAGTCTCTGTTTTCCATTTGGACCTGAGAACTAAGGCTCCCAAAATGGAGGACAGAGACTGCGCTTCGCTTTCTAGGGTGAAGAACCCATCTCTCCTCTGAGCAGGGCACATGGGTCAGAGGAAAGGAGTGGGGCCAGCTCTGGGGTCAGATTCCAGGAAACATTTCCATGCCCGTGGCCTGCGGCCATCAGAGTCCTCTGAGACGCGTCCTTTCATCCAGGACCAGGCACAACTGGCCCCTGTACCAGCCTATAGGCATGCTGTGGGCTCACAGGGGTTTAATTTCCTTAAAACTTTGTTTCTAACATTTATTTTTTTTTAATTTTTTTTCAACGTTTTTTATTTATTTTTGGGACAGAGAGAGACAGAGCATGAACGGGGGAGGGGCAGAGAGAGAGGGAGACACAGAATCGGAAACAGGCTCCAGGCTCTGAGCCATCAGCCCAGAGCCCGACGCGGGGCTCGAACTCACGGACCGCGAGATCGTGACCTGGCTGAAGTCGGACGCTTAACCGACTGCGCCACCCAGGCGCCCCTCTAACATTTAAAAATGAGTAGAGTTCTCATAAAACTGATTTTCTTGAAAACAAGCCGATCATTGGGCAACCCTGGACTCGTATTCCCCACCTTCAGGGCCTGCTCTCATGTGGCTGCATTTCATCTACACTTGCCTCCGCAGCATTTTGAATTTGCAACCCTGCTTTTGGAGTTACATGTGTTTTAGGACTCTGATCTATTCTACTGTCACTCCGATGAACAGAACATGTTACCCCTGGGGTTTGTCTCTGGTCATTATTTCCAGGCATCTTAATCTTCACGGTAAAGAGGGATGTACGCAGTTGTAGCAAAAGTCAGGAATATTTTCAAGTCCCAGTCGGCTAAGCGTCTAACTTCGGCTCAGGTCATGATCTCGCAGTTTAGTTTGTGAGATAGAGCCCCGCCCTGGGCTATCCGCTGTCAGAGCGGAGCCTGCTTGGGATTCCCTCTCCCTCTCTTTCTGACCCTCCCCTTCTCGCACAAACATGCATTCTCTCTCTCTCTCCAAAATAAATAAACTTAAAAAAATTACTATTTTCAAGCCAGCGAGCTATAAACTGGAAAGTGACAGGGGGCTGTGGTAAGATGAACTATTCATTCTGTGAGTGTTTCTCCATCAACAAGGAGCATGACAAGCATCCGGAGTAAGGGAATTCACTCCTGAGGCCATGTCAGTGGCAGTTGCAAGAGTGCACTGAGTCCCAAAAATGTGGATACATCTTGACTCTTGGGCAAATGTTTCTCTACCAGACAAAAGGGGCCACTTCAAGGACTCTGGGGAAGCCGAGCGGTTTGGATCCTACCACGGGATCACCTGAACTGGACCAAATGAAGTCTCAACATTTATTTAACGGTTCGGAAAATATTTATTGAGCACCTACTATATGACAGACATTAGCCCCTTCTTGGACGGGAGAGGAGACGCTTCCACAGTCTAGGCTCTAGGACTGAGCAGGTCTAGGGGGAAGCAAATGTCATATTTGCTGTGTGGGAATTGAAGTCCCTAAAAGACTTCAGAAAAGCACCACGGAAAGGTGAGTCAATAAGCAAAGCAGAGATCAAAACTCTAAATGCCTCCAGGAAGCAGGCAGGACAGCATATGACGAGTGGCTTGGATGGAAGATGGCAGTCAGAGCCTCAAGAAATCATATTGTATTCAAAGGGGGCAGTTGGGGGCTCAGCATTGCCAAAGCTTAAAGACTTTTTAAGAGAAGCCGAAAAAGAATTAGATTTCTATGTGAAATGTCCCAACTTTTAAATGTTTATGACTAAAATAAAAAATTTAAGAACTCTGTACAACCACAGCAGAAAACACCTGCTGTCCAGCTCACAGGGCACCAGTCTAGAGATGTACTCACCTCAGAAGCCTGTCACAAGGATAACTACCATGGATGGAAGTGCTTATCTGAGCTTCAGACAGGGAGAACACTCAAGGAAGGCCAACTCCAATGACTGGCGGCTTCACTGACCTTATGAAGAGGTCACCTTCAGCAACTAAATCATGATCGACCTTCAAAGATTGGCCTGAGAACTGACTCAGGTCTTACAAAAGCACTCAGAATAATAAAAACTAGAAAAAGAAATCATCTGAAGTAAGAAGAAAAACGTTTCCTTAAAGGAAAAAAAAAAAAAAAAAAAAAAAAAAAAAGCTTGTACTAATTAAGGCTGATAAGCCAGGCTGGAGACAGGGTAATGGCGAGACCAAGCCTTAGGAAGGAGAGAAGAT